TGTAATGCCACTCCTTTCACAAAACCTTCCTGGAATCTCCCATCCAGAAAAGCTCTTTTTTGTCTCTGCTGTCCTGGAAAGGATATACACTCTGGGATTTTTACTCACACCATATCCCCAACTGGATGGCATCCTCCCATGATGCCTTTCAACTAATCAATCAATCAGTGAACTGAGAAGCCAGTTAGGGTGGGGAGATGGCAGTGGGGGGAGCACAAAATTGCCCAAATCCTCCTTAACTGAGACTTGGACAGGCTTGGACTCACTAATGGAGGCACCTGACACAGGTTATCCCATGAAGGTTGCATGTCCACTCCACAGGCTAGGTCCTCGTACCACCCCATCTTGCCCCAGACACCCCCAGCTAGTAAGGATTTGGCGAGGTCTGATACCCACTCTCTTCCACTCCACCACACCGCTTCCCACCACCCATTTCCTGGGGGAGGGAGGTTAGAAATGGGTATATGGCTGAGAGATGGCTCTCCTGGATCTTCATCCTCTGGCCCACGCTGCACCCTGCCTGGCTCTACCCCTCAGTCGACTGGTTGGGCAGATGGGGCTGGAGAGCCCTGGGCACCCCATGTACTTATGCAGGTGAGCAGGTAACAGGAATCAGGACGTGCATATCAAAAACCTCTAAGACAGGCCAGGTGCTGTGCCTTATGCCTGTAATGCCAGCACTTTGGGAGGTCATGGCAGGCAGATCACCTGAGGTCAAGAGTTCGAGACTAGCCTGGCCAACATAGGAAAACCCCGCCTCTACTAAAAACACAAAAATTACCAAGGCGTGGTTGTTATTTTTCCCTGGGTTGTTCTGTAGCTTGGCAGCAGGAATCAGGACTGACGGGAAAGGGGTCGACTGTGGAGACGTGATGGAGAAGAGGATGTTGGAAGTGAGAGCAAAGACCCCCAACCTCTTCAGGCAACCCTGCCCAGCCCAGAGTTGAGGTAGGGGGAAGGGTTGATCCCATCTCCATCTCTGACAAAGATTTATTTTTTGACTTCCCTAAGGCCATTCCCATGCTGCCATTCTCGGCCCGGCCCTCATCTCCACACCTCGGCCAGCACCTCAGTTCCAGCCCCAGGGCTCCAGGGTCAGACTCCCGACATGAACTGCCAGGACACCATATATCCATCCATCTGACAGCTGACCTGAGCTCAGGTGGCCTGCAGGAAAGATGGAGCACAAATCCTGGGGTCTCCGATACTGATGCATGCATGCACACACGTGTACCCCAAACCATTTAAATGGACCATTCCCCTCTGTGTGCGATGTAGTTTACAAAGCCCCGGTGCCCCCACGCATTATCTCAGTTGCTTTAACAACAGGGTCCTCTGGTTGCAGGCATGGCAGGCATCATGAACCCTGTCTCTACTAAAAATACAAAAAAGTAGCTGGGCATGGTTGTGCACGCCTGTAATCCCAGCTACTCAGGAGGCTGAGGCAGGAGAATTGCCTGAACCCAGGAGGCGGAGGTTGTGGTGAGCCAGAGTCAAGCCCCAGCCACCCTGATTTTTATTCCTTGGAAATTCCCCCAGGCAGGGATCTTATTCACCTGGACCGCCTGAGTCCCACCACCTAGACCAGTGCCTAGCCCATATGAGGTTCTCACCGAGCAAGCCAGCGTTTGTGGAACATTTGTTAACCAAATAAATCTGCCCCCATTGTCCTTGCCCTCAACTTCCTCCTCCCAGACCTTTCCTGCCTGTCTCCTAACTCCTCACATGTCTTTAGCCAACAATTTGAGACCTCTCCCCCAGGAGCCGAGGGTAACAGACCTCCTCGGTCCCTGCCACGGGGCTGAGAAGTCAATTCGCCACCTCACTCTCCGATACCTACTAGCATTCAGGGATTCGTAGTTTGTCCTTATGGTTCTCCCTTGCCTCAGTCTCCCCCCACCCCCTGCCCTGGGCAAGTCCGCTCCTCTGCTTTCTTCTCCCCCAAGCGAGTGCTGGGGATTTCCTTTCTCTCTTTCCCTCTAGATCCTGCAGAGCCCCAGACAAGGGACAAGACAAAGAGTGAGCAGGCTAAGTGGTCAGGCCCAGCTCCAGGACATGCATTTCCAAACAGGGAAAACATAGAAATCTGAGGACGGGGCCTCTCAAGGATAGTCCCCCAAAATACAAGGTTTGGAGCCCCTTTTGGAACACTGCCAACTCCAGCTGCCTCCACTCTAGGCACCAATCATTCAACAGCACTGAGTGTTTACTGGGCCTGCAGGCGGGGAAAGGATACAAGATGCCACTTGCGCAAACTGGCAGGACAGGAGGGGTGCCCCGCATTTGGCGTGCTGAGTGCCTTTGTGTATGTGATCTCGTTCAAGGTTCCCAACTCCAAAAGCAGACACGATGAGTCCCTTTCATGAAGAAGGAGTCAGAGGCCTCAGTGACTTGCCCAAGGTCACGTGGCTACATAGGGGCGAACCCTGAGGCCCTCAGGTCCTGTGCGGGGTTTTGCCCTTCGAGCAAAGCTGATCCTTCAGCCACCTCTGCCAAGGCTTCCTTTCATTCCAGCTGCAGGCATTATAAACAAGCCCCCAAGCCTCTTACCTGGTCCCAAGGACAAGGCAGATGGCCTCACCATTCCAGAGAGACCCGGGTCTACAACCCTAGGCTTTAGTGGCCAGTGAAAAGGCAGCCTTCCCCAGGCCCTCGCCCAGTTGAGGGGTGCTGGGCTGCCCCACCAGGGACTGCTGGTGCCCCCCACCCCCACCATCCCTCTTCTCCAGCTCTCCTCTAGTCCCTCTGGTCCTCCCGCTGCTCTGCTTTCAGCCCTAACCCAAGAATGACCAGGACCCACAGGTGGAGGAGCAGAGTTCCTGGTCCCCAGCCTGGCTTCTGACATCTCCGGTGCCGCTTGGCCTACCCTAGGCCGGGGTGTCAGGTCTGGTGAGACCAGCCTCCCCTCAAAGCCGTCCTGCCCTGCCCTCCCGCCACCACGCAGCCACATGCTCAGAGGATTGTCCAATGTCAGAGCGCCACCTAGTGTGCCTAGTGGGCACTGCAGCCCCTGCCTGCCTCCACAGAGTCACTCTGCCCAGAGCAGGACCTATCAGAGGGGTGGCAGGGTGCAGAAGGGGAGACACAGAGGGCCCCAAATCTAGACTTCTGACATAGTGTCCATATGACACAATTCCTCCAGTCATGGAGAGACCTGGGAATCCAGAGAGGCCAGTCCCCTCCAAGTATGAGAACTTAAGATGACACCGCCTGCTGGGCCCTGACTTAATCACTGTTTGAAAGGCTTAAAATGACCTTTCAAAGAGCCCAGTCTCTTTGCACTATTCTGTGTGCCCTGGTGAAAAGTAAACTTTCTAAATCGGCGATAGTTTGGGTGACCTCTTTTTGGCAAATCTTTAAACAAGAGCCTTAAAGAACAGGGGCTAAGTATTGCCAGACGCAGAAGAGGCCACACCTGTGCACGAAGCCTGCCTGCCATGCCATGCTCAATCTGTTTCGTGCCTTGCCACCCCATCCTTGATCGGCCTGTTGGAGTAAAAAGACCACTAAGCCCAGGCAGATCTGGGTTTGAATCCTGGCTCTACTTGAGTTGTATAACCTTGAGAAAGTCACTTAAAATTTCCAGACGAAGTTTCACTCAAGTTGCCCCAGGCTGGAGTGCAGTGGCACAATCTCGGCTCACTGCAACCTCCACCTCTCAGGTTCAAGCGATTCTCCTGCCTCAGCCTCCCGAGTAGCTGGGATTATAGGCATCCACCACCACGGCTGGCTGATTTTTTGTATTTTCACCATGTTGGCCAGGTTGGTCTCAAACTCCTGACCTCAGGTGATCCGCCCACCTCAGCCTCCCAAAGTGCTGGGATTATAGGCGTGAGCCACCACATCTGGCCAAAATTCACTCAAAATCTCTAAGCCTTACTTTCCCCATCTGTAAAATGGGGTTGTGATAGCCATCGTGTGAAATAACAAATTTGAAGCACTCAGCAAAGGGTCAGCTGCTTACCAGAGGCTCAGTAACTGCCAGTCTCATCCTCCTCGTCCCCCTCAGGGCCTCCATCACTGAGTCAGTCTCTCTCCGGGGTCTCAGAGCCCGGCCACACTGCACCTCGAATTGCATCCCACATCTCCATTTTCTGTAGTTATATCCATCTACTCCCACGCACCTGATCCCTGGCTCCGAGCCTCCTAGGGTCCCTGTTTCTCTCTTCTCCCCTCTGGAAGCCCAGCCCAGTTTTGAGCCCACGTCAAGTGTGTATCTGCCTGCAGCTGAACTGAATGCTCCCAGGCAATCTATTAGGGGAACCTGTTCTGCAATCCAGGGGCTGAATCAACACGTTTCTAGACCTGTCAAAACATAGATTTTGGCCAGGTGCGGTGGCTCATACTTGTCATCCTAGCACTTTGAGAGGCCAAGGCCAGAGGCCTGCTTGAGGCCAGGAGTTCGAGAGCAGCCTGAGCAACGTAGGGGGACCCAGACTCAAAATAAATACATATACATTTTCTCTCTCGGTAAAATGGCATTGCTGAGGTGGGCAGATCACTTGAGGTCAGGACTTTAAGACCAGCCTGGCCAACATGGCAAAACCCTGCCTCTACTAAAAATACAAAAATTAGCAGGCTTGGTGGGGGGGTACCTGTAATCCCAGCTACTCAGGAGAATCACTTGAAACTGGGAGATGGAGGTTGCAGTGAGCCGAGATCACGCCACTGCACTCCAGCTGGGGTGACTTGGTCTGAGAGAGACTTGGTCTCAAAAACAAAACAAAACAAAAAGGCCAAAGACAGGATGAGTAGTATTTCAACTGTACAACCTCAAAAGAGATACTGGGGCAAGGAGGCAGAAGGTGGCAAGATGGGAATGGTGGGAGATAATTCATATTGGCCAAGATTAAATCTCAGTCCGGGTCTTGGTCAACAATTCAAGAGGGAGGCATCCCACAGGCCAGGGGTAACCAGGTGGAGAGAATCCTCTCTATCTGCCAGAAGGAGAGGACGGGAAACAGGCAAAGCGGGACGGGGAATGAGGGGCAAATGGCCTCTTTATTAACACAATTATTTTATTTGCCAAAAGGTAATCATCCTAAGTGAGGTCAACGGCGGCTGGCACAGGACTGGCCCTGCAGGTGGCTGGCCCTCGTTGCCATGGCAACCGAGCGCCATTCACTTCCAGCAGCTGCAAGGGCTGCAGGATCCTGAGGAAGGAGACCCCAGAGCTCTTTTCCTCCCCCAAAGAGGGGCTGAAGGAGACCAACGAGTGTTTGCATTCCCCATCCCAGCCCCCAAGAGAGACCAAGAGCCCCTAGGGAAATGCCCCAGCCCAGGCTCGCAGGGGGTCCATCCTGCAGCACAGTGGTCTCTGCAGGCACCATCTCCTTCTGTCCCACAATGACACTGTGAGGAAGAGGCAATGCATCACCTGAACATTTCACAAAAAGCTGTGGCTCGGAGTGGCCAGGGATCTGTCCACAGACACACAGCACGTGGGGATTTGGGGACTGGGGGCAGAGGCCTGGGGCACTGTTGAAAGTTACCTCAGAGTCAGGGGCTGTGATGACGACAGGGAGGAATGAAACCTGCATCTTGAATAATCAGAAAACAGATGTGGAGGGAAACACACTAGCCCGCAGCCAGAGAGGCCTGGGTTTGAGTGCCACCCTTACAGGCCATGTCACCCGCAGCAAATTTGCTCTGAGCCTCAGTCTGTCCAGAGCATCTGCACCCATGACTTTCCAGTCTCTGAAAGACACAGCCATCATCAAGGTGTGCTTCCCCATCTGTAAAATGAGCCAACTCTGTTGAGCGCAGTGGCTTACACCTGTAATCCCAGCACTTTGGGAGGCCAAGCTGGGTGTATCGCTTGAGGTCAGGAGTTTGAGACCAGCCTGGTCAACATGGTGAAAGCTCATCAAATAAAAATACAAAAATGAGCCAGGTATGGTGGTGAGTACCTGTAATCCCAGCTACTTGGGAGGCTGAAGCAGGAGAATCACTTGAACCCAGGAGGCAGAGGTTGCAGTGAGCCGAGATTATGCCACTGAACTTCAGGCTGGGCGACAGAGTGAGACTCTACCTCAAAAAAAAAAAAAAAAAAGTCCAACTCAACCCTACCTGCTGCCCTGGCGACCCAGGACATCAGCAGTGACTGGGAAATTCATGCACTACACAAACAAGAGCAGCTGGTTCTGTCATTTCATCCAAATCTCCAGGGATAGCAGCTCTGCAGAGAAGGGACACACGTCCTGTCCCCAAGTCCTCCAACCCGGAAGTCAAGTGGTGAGGATGCCAGGCTGGAAATCTGGGACGGCACAGCACAGGCAGGCCCAGGGAGGGAAGCGGCCAATCCTGGGGCCATTTTGCTTGTGCCCGCAGTGTCTGTCGCACTCTGGTGGACGCACCTGACACAGACTCGAGGAACAGCTGTGCAACCAGAGGGCATTCAGGTTGAGGAGTGGGGGTGGGCATGGGAGCATCAGAGGAGGCTTTAGGAGGTGATGAGACTTGAGCCAGGCCTCCCAGAAAGTGGTCGTGGGAAGGCAGTGGGAGGGAAAGCACGTCAGGTGGTGTAAATTGATCCAATAAAAGCCTACAGATGGTCAGGTGTGGGAGTTTGGGGACCAGGGCATCATTTGGGTGGGTAGAGCAAAGGGACTTAAAAAGCCCAAACGGGGCTAGGTGCAGTGGCTCATGCCTTAATCCCCACTCTGGGAGGCCAAGGCAGGCAGATTGTTTGAGGTCAAGAGTTGAAGACCAGCCTGGCCAACATGGCAAAACCTCACTCTACTAAAAATACAAAAATTAGCTGGGCATGGTAGTGGGCTCCTGGAATCCCAGCTACTTGGGAGACTTAGGCAGGAGAATCACTTAAACCCAGGAGGCGGAGGTTGCAGTGAGCCAAGATCTCACCATTTCACTCCAACCTGGACAGAGGAAGAAAGAAGAGGAAGGAAAGGAAGATAAAGAGGAAGAAGAAGGGGAAGAAGAAGAAAGAAGAAAGAGAAGAAGGAGAGGGAGGGGAGGGAGAAGGGAGGAAGTATTCCAAAGGAAGTGGGAACCAGACTGGGGCAACTGTGGACGGCGTTGACCATTATGCTCTGTACTTTATCCCGGAGGCACTAGGGAGTCATTGAAGGTTTCTGAGCAGGGGCAGGCCATGATAGGATTTACATTTTAGGCATATTGTGTGGAGAGAGAGCAGAGGCCAGGAGGCTACTGCAGCCCACTCCTCCCACACATTGCTCCTCATTAACAAGAGCAGCATTTTGGGCCTTGCTGGAGACTTTACAAAGCCCTTTTCTTACCTTTACACACCAGATCTCAAGCTGGATGGATTCCCTGACTCAAGCAGATTTCGGGTGAAGTGAGACTCTGGGCCCTGGTTCCCACCCCAGCCTCCTTCATGTCAGCACCCTAGCATTGATTAAAACAGTGTGCAAGTCCACCTGAAGCGTGGAGGAGTGCGGAGCTGAAGGGAGGCGGGGAGGGGAGGGCGCCATGTACTCAGGGCCTGCTCGGCTCCCAGCCGGTCACCTGCGCTCCTCACTGTAAAGGAATTATCCCTGTGCTACAAGAAGGAAAATAAGACCTTACATGGTTAGGAAGAGCCCAGGACCCCCAGGGCCGGGACACAAGTCTGGGTGTATCTGATCCCAAAGCTCCGCATTCCAAAACAAGAGGAGAATCAGGCCTCGAAGAAGCCACACCCCTCCTCCCTGAAGGAGGCACTAGAGGCCCCCGTCCTCTCCAGTGTCCCCTCCACCAGCCGCAGCAGGGCCCAGCCTCCTATGACAGGCATGCTCACAGATGCTCATGCTTTGATAGACCCAGTTGTATCAAAGACGTTCACAAAGAAGCAGTTCATCTAACGTCCCATTTTGGATTCATCAGCCTCTTCTGAGACTGTCAGAGTCTCCGTCCTGTGCCCAATGACATTGAGCAAAGGCCGGAGATGGCAAGGGGTACTCAGGGTGGGCTCGATGCATAGAGCTGCCTTGGGGACCCCAAGTGGGGAAGCCAAGAGTCAAAGGGAATTCTGAGGAAGGAGTGGGTGGCAGAAGGTAGAGTCCCCCCGCAGCTGGTTTTACCGGGTGGCCCCTGAAGGGTGACAAGGGCAGCAGGTCCGAGGGAGGCCCCAGGACAGGGGAGAGATCAAACACAGAGAGAATCAGAGACAGGGTGAGAGACAGAGAAAGGGAGGCGGCGGTGCTAGTTTCACAGCTGGGCTTGGCGGTGGTGCCCAGAGTGCTGGCCACACTCCAGCAGGATAATAGCATCAGCTCCAGCCTAAACTTTAATCAATGGATCCAAGGCTTGGCCACAGTCAGCAGTGAGGTAGATTAGCAGAAACCTGTGAGGGGAAAGGGAGGCAAGTGCCCAGCCGAGGAAGACGGTGCATGGGATCTATTTCAGGTCCAAGGGGGGGCTTCCAGCGCCCCTTCCCACAGGGCATGAAGTGAAGCAGAGGTGGGAGTCAGACAGCTACATCAATAGCAAGGGAACGAATCCAGCCCACTAAGGCTCAGCGAGACCCCGACACAGGCTCCAAGCCACTCTCCCTGAGTCCCAACAAGCCTCAAGTGAGACACCAAGAACTTACCGACCAGTGAGCCCTCAGGATGCTGGAGCAGGGGCAGGGTCCCAGCATAGGAGCTGGAGTGCCCCCACCCTCCCCTTCAGGCCGGTCGCACAGAGGAATGAACTGAATGGGTCACATCCTCACCCCTCAAGTGCTCTGGAGAGAGGGTAGAAGGAAGGAGGAGACAAACCGGTTATCATCTGCCCCATATAACTTATTAGCATCCAGGCGAGATTAATCAAGCCCAGAAACCTCGAGCAGACCCCTAATTAGTTGCTGCTGATAACTGTATTTGTCATGCTCTCCAATTATTCCACTGTAAATTTCAGAGTTTAATTGCACCTTGTTCTTCATTGAAGTGTCACTGTTTGCACACGCTCCCCTAATTCTTTAGCAAATTTGACAAAATTCAGCATTAAATATAGATTATCTTTAGATTTCCATAATTAACACAACCACACTGTCTCAGGCCTAAATATTTCTCCCAGTGTCATAAATCTGGCCTGTCCCTGGAATCCGAAGGGCTGCTTCTAGCTCGCCGGCAGAGGCTGCAGGGAGAACACACATGCACAGCCATGAACTCACATGACACGCCTATGCAGTGCTGGGGTGAGAGGCGGCAGTGATACTTCATCGAGAACACACACCTGGGAACAGACCCCGTGCCCCATATCTGCAGGGGCCCCATCAGATGCCCAACCTGGGGCATGGGGCAGTGTCACAGGGCTTTGAAGGCCAGTTCAGGATCGCAGCTGACCTCTGGGTCTCGCGAATGGGCTAGAGGGAAGAGGTTCGGCCTACAACCAGGACACAAGCCTCCCCACCCAACAAAGGCCAAAGGGCCCCTTCCGTGACTTTTTTTGTTCCTGTCAAGGCTAACTTGATGTTTGACATTACCCCAGGAACATGACCCAGGCAGACACGAATGCCCTCATGCCATACCCCATGCCTGGCACCGCCACTGCCCAGCCTTCTCTCTTAGCCCACTCTCTCCAGACTCACCAGGTCTGTATATGTCCATCCAACTCTACACCTCCCCCACCTGGGGCCCTTTTTTTTTTAAGATAGAGTTGGCTGGGTGTGGCGGCTCATGCCTGTAATCCCAGCACTTTGAGAGCCCAAGGCAGGTGGATGACCTGAGGTCAGTAGTTTGAGACCAGCCTGACCAATATGGTGAAACCCTGTCTTTATAAAAATAAAATAAAATAAAAGATAAAGACAGAGTGTTGCTCTGTTGCCCAAGCTGGAGTACAGCGGCTCCATCTCAGCTCATCACAACTCTGCCTCCTGGGTTCATGCATTTGTCCTGTTTTAGCCTCCTGAGTAGCTGGGATTATAGGTGCATGACACCATGCCCGGCCAGTTTTTGCATTTTTAGTAGAGATGGGGTTTCACCATGTTGCCTAGGCAGGTCTCAAACTCCTGATCTCACGTGATCCACCTGCCTCAGCCTCCCAAAGTGCTGGGATTACAGGCATGAGCCACCGCACACAGTCTGAAATCTCTTCCACCAGCCCCTAAAACCCCAATCTAACTTCAAAAGGAAACCAGCAGGGCATTCCATTTCCACAGGGACAGTGGTGGGCAGGAGTGGACAGGAGGCCACAGGGAAGCCTGTGCCCTTTTCAGATTCCAGCCCAGCCGCTGGCCTCTGGCAGGGGAGAATCATATCTTGGGTTTATCTCAAGTCAAGCCCCCTCCTCAGGCTGGCTGTCTCATGGGCAGCAGAGCATCCAGAGTTCAACTGCAAGCCCAGCCCCCACGCCCCCTGCAGTCACACAAACACATGCATACACACAGAGGCAGACGCACAGATGCAGAGATGAATTGACACAGATGCACAGAGACAAACACAGAGATACACACAAAACACACACTGACATACAGCCCATGCCCTGTAAAAAGATGGGGACAGACAGGGAAAACTCACTCCCAGGAAATCAGTGACATATCCAGAGTCTTGCTGCACTGAAAGGCCAAAGCTGGCTGGGGGCCCCTTTCCCTCCATACCACCTGCCAGCCCTGGCAGCCCTGTTTCCCCTCGAAGCTGCAGCGGTAGTTGGCCAGCTGAAGGTGGGAACAGGCAAGATTACGGAGGAGCCTCCAAGTGTACTCGCAGCAAATTTAGAAGAAAATCGATGCCTTTAATGAAATTTGATTTTTCTCCACGATGGGCTGGGCTAGTGGTTGCAGGGGAATCTCTGGGTGCAATGCACAAGGAAGTGAGGCGGGGCACAAGATTCAGGGCTGGGAGGGACTTCGAAGCCAGGAGTGAGGAAGCACCAGGGTCAGCAGCTACAGGGACAGGAAGAGGCAGAGGATAGACAGACAGGATGTCCGTGTCAGGCCGCCACTCAACCCTACCTACCAGACCCGGAGAGGCCCCTGAGCTGACTTGGGTGCTACTGTGGCTTTCTTGGGTTCTGGATCCAGAGTCTGGACTCCCAGCCCTCAGCAGAGGAGAGGCTGCAGCCCACCCAGCAGGAGACTGGCAGGGGCCAGGCCATGGGAAGCAGTCACAGGATGGGATATGTTGGGGGTGCGGCTGGCTCAGGTCCTTGGCTTCCAAGGGTGGTAAAAAGAAATTATGGGGGGGTTAATTCTGATCAGTGCAGTTAACTGAGCACCTGCCAGGCCCCAAGCCCCAGTTATTGTTATTCTGCAATAAACCCAACAAGAGAGGTGACAACCCCTTGCTCCCAGATGAAGAGAATTAGGATCAGAGACATTAAAGGAATTGCTCAAGGCCACTCAGCCAATGGCTGAGGCAACACCTGAACCAGGATCCTTCCGCTGTGAAGTTTGTTCCTTCCGTTCTGCCTGCAAACAGCACCTGGCAGGCAATGGAAGCACATCCTAGTCTCTCTTCTTCTCTTCCAGCAGGTCTCAGACCCATGGATGGGCTGGGCCAGGACTTGGGTTCAGGCTCCAGGGTGACGGCAACTTAAGGGAATCTCCTCACAGCTGGGCTCCAAAGCACTAGACTTCCCCAGGCGCAGAGGGGATACCTATAAGCTGCAATCCTGCTCACCCCACCCTGCTGGCTGAATCTTTGAGCTCCCTCCTTCCATATGGAATCATAGAAGGGATCCAAAGCCATCAACCCAAACTTCTCCTGTCTGAAGCCCCTGTGAGATATTCTGAGTGATCAACTGAGGTCTTGCACTACTCTAGCAACAGGGAGCTCACTATCTCCAAGGTATCCTCTTCCACTTCTGGAATCTTGCTAAATTAAGCTGCTATTTGCCTCCCTGGGCCTCCCACTGGTCCCATTTCTGCCTTCTGGGTCATCACTCTGCCCCATGAAAGCCCCTCAGTAACTGGAATACCATAATCACTGCCCTCTCACCACCTGGGGGCTTCCATGCTCCTGGCTAAACACTTCCTCATTCCCCCAACTATTGCAATAGTGTCCAGCCATCTCCTCCCACCCACCCAAAGGCAGAATTATTGACCAAATAGAGGACTGGGTTTGGCAATGATTTCTTATGACACCAAAAGCACAGGTAACACAAAAGCAGAAATAGAAAAGTAGGATTACATCAGAATGTAAACTGTGCATGCAGGAACACAGCCCACAGAGTGAAAAGTCCACCTGCAGAATGGGAGAGATTATTAGCAAATCTTATACCTGATAAGAGATTAATATCCAGAATATATAAGGCACTCCTACAACTCAATAGCAAAAAAGTAAACAACCTGATTTAAAAATGAACAAAGAGCATGAATAGACATTTCTCCAAAGAAGACACACAAGTGGGCAGCAAGCATATGAAAAGATGCCCCACATCATGAATCACCAGGGAAATGTAGATCAAAACCACAAGGAGATAGCACCTCATAGCCATTAGGATGGCTGCTCTCAAAGACAGAAAAGAACCATTATCTGAGGATGTGGGGAAATTGGGACCCTTGTGCCCTGTTGGGGACATGTAAAATGGTGCAGCTGCTATGGAAAACAGTACGGCAATTCCTCACAAGATTAAAAATAGGATTAATATCAGATCAGCAATCCCACTTCTGGGTATTTGAAAGAATTCAAGGCAGAGTCTTTCTTTTTCTTTTTCTTTTTTTGAGATGAAGTTTTACTCTTTCTTCCAGGCTGGAGTGCAGTGGCGTGATTCCAGCTCACTGCAACCTCTGCCTTCCATTTTCAAGTGATTCTCCTGCCTCAGCCTCCCAAGTAGCTGGGATTACAGGCATCTGCTACTATGCCCAGCTAATTTTTATATTTTTAGTAGAGACAAGGTTTCACCATGTTGGCCAGGCTGGTCTCGAACTCCTGACCTCATGATCTGCCCACCTCAGCTTCCCAAAGTGCTGGGATTACAGGCGTGAGCCATCGTGTCCACCCCCCTCAACCTCCCCGCTTTACTTTTTGAGACTTACTCTGTTGCCCAGGCTGGAGTGTGGTGGTGCAATCTTGGCTCACTGCAGCCTCCACCTCCTGGGTTCAAGCAATTCTCCTGCCTCAGCCTCCCAAGTAGCTGAGATTACAGGCATACACAACCGCACCTGGCTAATTTTTGTATTTTTAGTAGAGATGGGGTTTTTGTCACGTTGGCCAGGCTGGTCTTGAACCCCTGACCTCAAGGGATCTAGTCACCTTGGCCTTCCAAAGTGCTTGGACTTGAGCCATCACACCCAGCCTAAGGCAGGGTCTTGAAGGGATATTTGCACACCCATGTTCCTAGCAGCATTATTCAAACAAGCCAAGAGTCAGAAGCAACCCAGATATCCATCAATGGATGAACGAATAAACAAAATGTGGTATAAACAGACAATGAGATGTTATTCAGTCTTAAAAAGGAAGGACATTCTGACACATGCCACAACATGGATGAACCCTGAGGACATGATGCTAAGTAAAATAAGCCAGTCACGAAAATACAACTGCCACATGATTCCACTCTAGGAGGTATCTAAAGTTGTCTCATTCATAGAAACAGAACAGAGAATGGTGTTTGCCCAGGGCTGAGTGGTGGATGGGGTGCTGTGGTTTAAAGGGTATAGTGTTTCCGTTGTTTGTTTTTGTTTTTGAGACAGAGTCTCACTCTTGTTGCCCAGGCTGGACTGTGACCTCCGCCTCCCAGGTTCAAGCAATTCTCATGCCTCAGCCTCCCAAGTAGCTGGGATTACAGGCATGTGCCACCACA